AGATAATTTTGTTTATATCTGATTTCCCTTTTTGTAATAGCTTGAGATCCCAAATCCTTGCTAAACTCTAATACCACACCAATTACGAACAGCATACGATGCAGCCAATTAACTGGTCTACATGTAGTTGTCACCAAAATTCACACAAAAACGTAACCTAAAGTCTTGAACACTGAGAGAAAAGTAAAAACCTTCCTACAGGTATTCTTGAGCTATGAGTCATTAAGCTCCCACTAGGCTGTACGCCTCTTGAAGACAAGAGACTATTTCTGACTCATTTTTATATCCCCAGAGCTAGCACTGTGCTGGCTCACTAGGTGCACCACTATATGTTGGTTGAGGGAATGAATGTGTGCCAGAACTTCTCATTTTCTCTTTATAAAATAAAATAAGCACCTTTTCTTGGAAAACACTCAGAGTAATATTTGTTCTTCAAGGAGAGGAGTGGTTGCCTCTCTTCCCCATGAACAAGTCTCTCCATAACACCAGTCTTCAAGCTACTGAAAATCTTACCACCCTTGGCAGCTGTTTTAAATTCTGAGCATTCATTCTATCAAAATGTAGTATCTCAAGAAACTTATTTCTCAAATTAGTAGAAGAGAATAAAAAAAATAATTAAAGGTACCACAGTTCTAGTCTCCAACACCAAAACATTTATTCTTTTTTTAAGTCATAACCCAAAACTGACTTTGACGTGGGTACCATTTGAAAATGACATTTAATATTCAAGTGTTTCAAAAATGAAATTCTCCTATAACACACTTGTAAAACACTAAGTACCCACAAAATTTACAAATCACTTGATGGTTACAAAGTAAGGATGATACAACATTATTCGCCTAAGAAGACTAGGCACTGACTTCATAAACTTAAAAAGTTTGTTTTACCATCAGTTTACATAAATTACAGACCAGATTTTTAAGAATCACTGAATTCTACCTCAACTGAAGAAAATAAAATTTATAAACTAAATTATAAGAAGTCTGTGTTAAGTAGAGGATCAATAAAGCAATCAGAATGATATACTAGAAAAGTGAACAAAATTGAACATACCTGAGTTTTTGGATATAACACTCCTACAAAATGATGCCTAGAAAAAATTTTTAAGTGTAGAAATGTTAATGATGTAGTAAGTCATCAAATCTAAGCAAATCAGAGTTGTTTGAAGCTCATTACTTATAATGAATTGAAGGTGCCAGCGAATAGCATCCTGAACCTGAGACCCATGAGTAAGCAAGATCTTTAGCACAAAAAATTACCACTCAAATTTTGAAAAGCAGAAAAGTTTCAAATTTAAAGTTTATGGAAATTTGATGCTATTTTCCAAATCCAATCTCTAGTTTCTGTTGTTCAACAAAAAGTACCAAGTATTTTATTGTATTGCAAACCTATGAACTCATTTCTCTTTTCTTCAGATACTACAAACACCTAAACAAAACTCACTGAGATCCTAAATGACTCATTAAACAAACAAAGCTAACAAAAAGATTCAAGAATTAAGAGAAGAAAGGCAGTTTTTATTATTTACATATTATAAAAATTCCTTATTTAAAAGTATTCGATAATGTTTCTTCACCAAAGGGGAATGTATTTCTAGGAATGAGGTCTTTGTAACAAAAATCTCTTAGAAACAGAATGCCCCAGAATCAATGGTGAATATTTTACCTACATTTAATTAACACTATACAAGTTCTGTTTCAAATTACTTTTTATTTAAACAAACTGTACCACTTTTCCCTGTGATTTTGATCTCTAAACATAGTACTAGACTTAAGAGTAGTTGAATATAATGTGCACAAAGCAAGGCAGTAGACAATGACATCATGTACTGACTACATTAATATATCCATACTTTAATCTCTGGAATACAATCCACATAATTTACAACTGCCAAAATGTATTTAATGATATATTGAGAAGCAATATACTATATAAACCGCCCATTCGTAGTTTAAGGAATTTCAGAACAAAATCAAATACTTGTCTCAATCAGAATAGAAACTGTTTAAGAATATGTTCTGAAGTAAAAATCAAAGAAACTAATGCTGGCCACAGGGCTATATTATGAAATAATTTCACCAGGAGTCCAAAGTTCAACGTCCTTTACTACTGGGAAAATACGAAGTCCAAATTCAAGTGACAATCTTTCTCTCTGGGGAAATATAAATGCACAGGGTCATAATTATGAAACAGGTGACTAGTTAGGTAAAGCAATAGGTGGAACTAAAGTTAACTCTAGAAGCAGGAAAAGTACTGACTGCTAAGTTCTGCATTCATAAAACAAGAAATTCAGTAATTCTCTCAGGAAAAGCTTCTTCAGATTAGGAACCAAATTTTAAAGAGCTTTTTTTCCACTACCCATTAAAAATAACAGAAGAAAGGGGACAAAATTCTGAAGCAAAGCTAAAAACAGTGACTGCTAGAAAGAACTTTCATTAAGTCATCTGGTTGATGACACTGGCGTTGGCTGGACTCCCCTTAGCATCTACTATATCAAATGGAGAAAGCTAAGAGGAATTAGTGCTGCTGCAGCCATATCCTACACTCCAGCTCATCCTTCCACCATGGACTTTATCAGAAGACAACGTGAGAGCACTCCCCATTAAAATTACATCTCACTGTGGTACTTTCTAAATGACACGATATAACTTAACAAAGAGTTACTAATCAAGACAGAATGCTAAGGACACTTTACAATACTTTATTAAATTGAAAAATTCATTTCTCTCACAAAGTTCAGATAAAGAGAAAAGGGTAAGGCAAGTTTTTTTTAAATCTCTTTACTGTGTATTTTCATACTTTTCTAAATGAATCACAACTGCACAGATTCTTTAACTCCTCTGGAGATAATATTTATGCTGTTTTTAATAAACCCAAAGTTCTACAAGTTCTTAATTTCTAATATTTAAAGTTTTTTTTTAACCTGCAAAAATCTTGCTATTTTATAACAAATGTTGCTCTTTAATATAATAAGAGAAATTAAAAATTTTAAATTACAAATTGCTTAGAAATGAGAGTATTAATCTCAGATGGCACAGATATAATGGTATCAATTAGAAATTACTGATGCAGAGAATAGCTCCAAAAAATAAATCATAGCATTTTGACTGTTATTTATGATCACAAAACGTGCTGGAGTGATTAATGTGTTATTTCCATTATTTGGCTGAATATTTAAAATAGGAAAGTGTCTTTGGTTACCAAGAGGACAAAATTTTATTATTATAAAAATGCCAACCATAGTGTAGGACAAGTTTATTCAATTCCATTAATGATTTTGCACACACTCTAAACATTGAAACATTTTCTTAAATTTGATATAAAGATTGAAAAAATGTGTAACATGCAAACCAGACTAATTATCAAAGAGTTATCTCTCTGGTCTTCCAACAGAATCATAATAATTTGGAATACATCAGCTTCCTCATCAACCTATCAGCTTTAAGAGTATTTTTTTTAAGTAAAAGCTGTACTCTCATCCATGTCCCAACTAATCAAAACACAAAGCAATGATGCAGATGTTCTCATCATTCACTGACTCAAGGGAATTTGAACTAAATGGCACTTAGACTAGCAAATATCATCTACACAGTATTTTGTTTATTATATACAGTGGCCACGAGGCTGAATTACAGCCCCCAAAGTCTCTCCTCTTCCCTTCACATATGGCTTTAAAAGTTAGAGCTAAGAAGGAATTTTGCAATTCTCAAAATTATAACAAAAAAGCTGTTTAAAGTCAGCCCGAGTTCTAAAAATTAATCATAGAAATAAAACCTCACATCTTCACACACATAAACGTAGAATTAATATAATAGGCTATACGAAGAAAACGATAAGGCTGTAGGACTGTGTATATCCACAACACAAACACATATGTATATTGTATCACAAACGATCGGTTCCAATTAAGTTCAAGGACTATTCAAGAGACATTTCCAAAGTGAGCTGCTAAGAAAAAAAAAAGTGAGAAAGCATATTAATTTTCCTATAGAATTTTCTGATATTTTGAGGTAAAGGGATGGATCAGGTCACAATTAGGCAGCCCATTATATTTCACTGCACTGTATATTTAGTGGAGCATATTCAGCAAAAACAGTTTGATTTCTAATACTGTGAATATAATTCACTTACGTACATACATCTCCGGATACTGAACCACAGTCCATCAATGCCGAAACGACCAAGAATGTTCTCAACATATGACTACTTACTATATACTATCTGATCTCACTGTGTGCAGTCTGATCAATGCTTTGAAACTAGCAAGAATGCCATAAACGTAAGGTGCTTTCCAGCAGATTTTACTAGCATAAAAGACACTAGGGCAGCAACAGAGGCTCTTTTTTATCTACTACTTCAACAAAATTCTGTAAAATTGAAAGCTTTTACAAAAAAACATTTATTCAGCTAGGCACCTAGGTCTTCCTTCAGAGCGCACCGCGTCACACACCATACACTGTACTCTCACCGGTACCCAGGCACCTGAACCACCCGGACTGACCGAGTTAGGGTGTCAGCTCCGAGGCATCTGCTGCTGTGCAAGAAACACTGAAGCAGCTAAGCCTCCGGGTACACCCGAGTGCCTCGACAGTAAAGACCTTTCTCCCGGTGCCTAAGATGCATCAGACCGTTCCAAAGAGAACGCTGGGATTCTGAGAACCTTCTCCACAAAGGAGAGCAGGAAAGGGCTGGCCTCCTCGAGTAAAAACTCTTGTCTGCGGTGGGAGGCCGAGCTACAAACAGGAAAACCAGCTTCTGGTTGCAATTCGGTGCCAACTCGCAGCGCAGCCGGACGAGCCAGGGCTCAGTTTTCCCATCGTCAAAATGGGAATCACCGGTGTCCCCCCCCCCCGCCTCCCCGGGAATCCAGCACGCCCCAGAGGTCTACGGTTACCCCGACCACAAGCCGCGGGGAGGCGCGGCCGCTCCAGGACGCCCACCCCGGACCTCGCAACCTCGAGACCGAAAGGCAGGGCCCGTACCTGGCTTCACGGTCTTGAGACGGATGGGCTCGCGGAAGTGGCGGATGACAGCCAAGGTGTCCCGGTTGGTGAGCCCGCTGACAGGCGTCCCGTTCACCTCCAACAGCACATCCCCAGGGCTGGGCGCCTTGCCCGAGACGATGCAGCAGGTGCCCCCGCCGGGCTCCTCGCGGAGCCGCCCCAGGTAGGGGAACTCGCCGTGCTCTGCGCCGCCCCGGACCTCGGCGCCCAAGTCGCCTGGGGGCCCGGCCCAGGACACCGCGCACTCTTGCACCTTGCTGAGCCAGTGCTTCTTCTTCTTCAGGGTCTTCGACATCCCGACCCCCGCTGCACCATGGGGCAGACCCCGCGCGGGCGGGCGCGGCCCCCTCTCAGCCTGGGGCCCCGGGCGGCTCACGGCGACCCGACCCCGACCCGCCGGGGGCCCGGCCACCCGAAGCCCGAGACGCCCCTCGGACGCCGCGCCCGCCGCGCTCCCGGGCTGACGGGGCTCCGCGAGGGCCGCCGCAGGGAAGAAAGGGAGCAGGAACGGCCCCGGGCGGGTCCAGCGGGGCTTTCGGGCGGGGTCACCGCCGAGCGCTGGACCCCGGGCTCCGCGCCCGAGCGGCGGGAAAGGCTGAGGCAGGGGGCGGGGAGGTGACGCGGGAAGAGCCGGAACGGGAAAAATCCGTCGGGGGCGCGCACAAGCGCCCGAGACCGGTCGCCGGATCGATCGCGGCCGCTGCGGAGCCGGAGCGCCGAGACCAACGCCTGCCCGAGCTGCCAGGAAACTGCCGCTTTCAAACCCGCCGCAACCTCCTCCTCCTCCCTCTTCCCCTCCCCCCGCCCTCGCCCAGCCCTCACCCAGCCCTCACCCAGAGCCCCGCCCCCTCCCGCCGCGCGGCGCCCGGCGCGCTGCCGTCACCGGGCAGGCGCTTGGGACGAGCCCAGCTCTCAACTCTCTCGCCAGGGATTGGCCCCGGGCGGGCAGAGGGCGGGCCGTCGGCGAGAATTAGTACCAATAATTGGTTGGTGGGAGTGGAGAAGGCGGGCCCTAGAATGACTGAAGTTTAGAGAGGGTGGAAAAAAGAAGTTTGGAGAGTGAGGGAGGGCGGAGGGGAGGGGCCGCAGAGTGGGACAGTCTGCGGGTCGCAGGCCGCGAGAGGCCATCCGTCCTGCCGCTGGAGCCCAGGAAACTCGGATACCAAGTGACCAAACTACTGGAGGTGGGGGCGTGGCTGTCAAGCCAGGCGGAGACGGGGGCGGAGCCGCGGAGCCTCGGAGCCTGCGGGCACCCAGAGGAGCGGGTGTGCTTTGATTGGAAGACTACGTGCAGAGTCCGGAGCGGCGGCGGGGCTTCTCTGGAGTGGCCCGCGACAGCCGATCGCTTATATTGTGTTAGTGGTTGTTTGTCCATTCTCTCAACATGCTTTTGAACGCCCATTGAGGCAGGGCCTCGAGCCCTTGTTGATGGATGGGTTGATGGATGGTCACATTAGAGTCCTGCGCTTAACTGCTGTGTGACCTCAGGCAAATTAGCCTTTGTGAAACCAAAAGTCCTCAGCTGAAAAGTGAAGATGATTGTACCTATCCGTCCAAGCAGTTGTAAAGAGTACATGAATATATAAAAGATCTGCAGAGTGCCTGGCAGAGGGGTGGATGCTTAACATTTAATAGGTGATGATGACGATGAAAGACAACGACTTTGTGTCAGAAATTGTGCTAGCTACTGGGATTCAAAGACGAAGAAAACACAGGCCCAGCTCTCAGAAAAGTTACAGTCTAGTGGGCAAGACTGTCCAGTAAGCAGATCAGTGGGGGGCGGGGTAGTAGAAGGTGGATTAGGAACTAGCCCAGCTGAGTTGGAGTCCTGGCACGCTACTTACTTGCTGTTTGACCTTGGCCAAATCTCTGCTTCAAGTTTGCTCATCTGTAAAGGAGATGGAAGGAGAAGTAACATCAAGTAAGGGAGACACTAGACCTCTTCCAGCACTAATTTTTCAGCAACTCCTCGTTAAGCTTTTCTCTATGGCCCACACCCGTTCTGCCCTGTCTTTAGAATGTCCTTCGTCCCATTTCTCTTAAAAATCCTACCCATTCTCACCCCAGACACCCTCTCTTCCAGGTAGCCTTTTCTGATTTCTTTGTTTCAAGCGGAAAATGTTTTCTCTAGCTATACTTTGTTTCACTCTGTGAGGTGACATTTATGTTGTCTCCTGTCTCCTTTTGATGGCAGCAGCAAGGCATTATTTATGAGTAACTCCACACAATCTCACCACATCTAAGACAGGACCCAGCTTCCAGAGCTGCCCTGATTTTGGTTCACACCATTGTATTGGTCAGAGTCCTGGCAGGAAACAAATGGCACGGCAGAAAGATGCAGGCAGGGCTTGGGAAACCACAAGGGATGTGTGGAACCCCAAGGCTACTAGCTCCTCCATCTATAGAAGCCAGACTCCTACAGACAGTAGGAGTCTGACAGGCGCCTGTGACCTTAGTCAACACATGCAGTCGGCTTAAGTAATCATCCAGAAAAAAGGCTGGGAGATTTATATCTCACCGCCCTCCTCCATCCTGCAGATGTGACCCCCACGGCCAGATTTGTCTGGAAGTTAGGGCAATGAAGGCTTTTGATGCAATTTATGATAGGCTCGTGGAAGACAGGGACAGTGTATCTGAAAGGGAAAGGAGGAAAGGATGTGGGTTGCTCAGATTTGCCCAAATGTGAGATAATGCTTTTTTATTCGTCCTGAACAGCTATCTGTACTATTGGATTCCGGGATGCAATCCTGATAATCTTTACATAACCTATTTTTGCTATAATTCTTTCCCTGCCTACATTGTATCTGTTAGAATCACTCTGGCTTCAAAGAACAAAGTATCTGACAAACAGTAGTATAAAGCAAAAGGTCATTTATTACATCTTTAACATAAAGTTTAAGTGTGGGTACTTTCAGGGCTACTATAATTGAGTAGCTAGATATCATCAAAGACTAACCTCTTTTCCTGTTTAGTTTCTGCCACCATATGCATATTGGCTTTTGTCTGCAAGCTTGTCACCTCTTAATTACAGTGTGGCTGCCATAGCACCAGATATCACATCCCCAGCAGTCGCTGTATGAAGCAGGAAGCCAGGTTAAGAAAATGCTCCTCCCATTTTTATAAAAGAGAAAAATCTTTCCTAGACTTCTTCCCAGCAGAATCACCTCAGACAAAAAAAAAAAAAAAAATCAGGCACATGTTCACCTCAGACCACTAACAAAAGGAAATGAGATTCCACAGTTCATTAATTTGATCATGGGTCACCCAAACAAAATAGGGGTTCAGTTAGAGAGAAGAAAGGAAGAGTTCTTATTAAATAGGCACCCAACAGTGTCTGTCACATGCCTCAATCACAAATTGTCTCTTGGGCAGAAAACTGCGTTGATTATGAATCTGAACTTTAGTGTCAGGCTGCACACCCTGGCTTTCCTACTTGCTGGCTCTGTGATCCTCTGCTAGCTATTTCATCTCATCTAAACTGTTTCCTCATCCACAAAATGAGTATTATAACAGTCCTTACCTGAGCTATTGTGAAAACTGTATGAGGCTATTTGAGTCAAGTGTAGCATATAGCAAACATTCAACAAATTAGTTTGTTCAAAATTGTAATATTTGTGACATAATATAAGCACATTGTTCATCACTTTTGCAACTCTGTAAGTATTAAAGTCAACCATTTTAGTAAGCTTAGCTTCAGTTTTTTAAATATATTAGAAATAATCTGCCAACCCCAGTGAATTCTAGAAATAATCTAGAAATAATCTGCCAAGCCAGTGAATTGCTTCTAGCAGAACAGTGTTCTAGAAATTATTACCTAGTTAAATTAAAAGGGTCATATTACAAACTTTGTCTTTTATAGTGACAATTAATCAGATTGTATCTATATTTATCACTGCTTCCCAAAACTCATGGTTGGCTTAATAGTTGTGATTTCCATTGTGAAATATCAATAAGTCAAAAATATGGAACCTAGTTTAACAAAAATAACTGAAGACAGTTCAATTTGATGATTCCCAAGATTTATTTGAGCTTTAGAGATAGATAGGCTTTAATATGAAAAATCACATGAGTTAATATTACTTCATCACTTAATAATGTCCAAAGACTAAAAGGAGGCAAGAAGATATCTCCTTTCTTCTCTTCATAGACACCTTCCCCTCTAGGCATTGGTCGAAATTACTCAAATATCTTTTACTAAACCAATCTTTACCATAGGTAATGAAATAACACAATTGCCTATCTAGCCTCACCCCTGGTGTTCAAAAGGGCCTCAATCTCTCATGAACCATAATTGCACAATCACTGAACAAAATTAGATAGGGGGAGTCTCTTGGTATACATGAGGAGCGAAGCTTGACATTTGAGTAAGAAATCCACAGTATCTGCCACAAATATACTGCACTCATTTGATTCTAATTTTTTGTTTTTCTAACAAGGTGGAAAGTTTGAACTTTTTGTGATGTTGTGTTCCTAATGACAGTTAAGTAAATAAAACTTCAAACTGCAAAGCATAAATTTCCACTTTTTCTCACATGACACATGGTTAGTTGCTCTTTTATCCAAAGTGACTCCGATGCTGGTACGGTAATTCACTGAGCCCCTAAAGTATGCCAAAGCAAGAGAAGTACACCAGGAAGTGTTAGATTTCACTAGTTTCTTTCATGCAAACCTGAATCTTTAGTACCAGTCAAAGCATTGATGAAGTCATCCCTGAATACTGAGGTAGGGGTGAGGAGGAGGAAATGGGTAGTAGAAATATTTGCCTTCTATAGAGAATCCAGGAGAATTTATCTTGTTTTCTCCCACAGATTGCTATAATGAAATCATCTTGAATCATTAATGTTCTGATCCACATAATCTTTACTATCTTAGAAAGCATTCAATAAGTGATACATGTAATGTAGTCCAACATTACTAGCCTAGCCAAATTTAGTATTAGCATTCTATTATATCTTTACATCTTTATAGCATTTTTTTAAAATATAGCATTTTTTTTATATATAGCATTTTTATTTACCTAGGCCTCTGGGTGAATTTATATTACAAGGCTAAAAATATGCTCAATGATGAAAGCAATACCATAGGAAATTTGATATCAAACTTATTGTCTAAAATCAGTAAGTATTACTATGTTGTATACATAAACATGCATATTTTTTTTTGCCCATAGGTACATTTACCTGCAAATGACCAAATGAATCCAGCCCAAATTCACAGAACAGGAATGTTAAAAATCAACTGCAGTGCCAACATGTTTTAAAAAGAGAACCTAGTTAACAGTCAGATGTCAAGTTTGTCTCACAAAGAAGAACAAAGAGAGCATTGAATGAAAGAGAAAATACCAAAGGGCCCATCTGGCACATCTTTCATTTTTCAGCTTAGCTACCACCTCCTACCCAAGGCTGGCCTTGATTTCTACAGGTAGATGTATGCATTTCTTCCTTCTTCAGAATCAGTAACATGTTCTTCCTGTGTTTGTGGTTATCTTTCCCAGTAGACCTCCATGTCTCTGAGGACAGATCCCTTTCTCATCTGTGGATTTCCCATTGGGCTGGGTACTTAGTCTTTAGTATAGCTAGCATACATCCTGTCATCCATCCATTCAACAAACATGGAGAGTATGTGTCATGAGCAAGCATGGTCTTAGGTGCTGGTTTATAGCCATGAACAGACTTACAAGGTTCTTCTTTTTATGGGGAAGATGACAGTAAACCTGACATGAGTAAATGATCCAGATAGTTTCAGGTAATAAGAACTATAAATTAAATAGGAGATGAAACTGAATGAAGTGATGGGGTGTTTGGGAGAAGATTCCACTAGATTCAGGGCTTAGAGAAGACTCCACTGAGAAGATGACAGTTGAGCTGAGACCCAAATAGCCAGGAAGAGCAAGCCACAGGACACAGACATTTCAGGCCCACATCAAGACTTGCCTGTGTCTGATGGAGGGAGAGAGAGTGCACCTGTAGCCAAGTGTGGTTATGGAGGAGAGTGTTAGGAAATGAAGTTAGAGAGGAAAGCCAGAGTCAGATCACAGAAAGCCTTTTAAGCCAAAGTGAGGAATCTGAGTTTTATTTCTGAACTGAAATAAGCCCAGTGACACAATCTGGCTGTTTTAGAGCTGATTGTTAAGATTCAGACTACTGTGCTAAGTAAGGAGGACGGAGGTGAGGAGAAGCAGGAAGCTAGGTAGAAACTGTGATATCACTAAAGCCAGCAGATAGAACTTAAACAAATAGGGCACAGGTCTAGAATAGTTAACCTAAAATAAACTTAAAGTCGGGGCCTAAGTGAGTTAACATACCAGAGGGCATGAATAATTAACTTAAAACTGACTATCAGGGCCTAATAAAATACAAGAGACAAAAAACAGGTCCTTAACCAAATGAGAGATCTTTTTAAAAGTAAGATACAAATGGAATAGCTTGCTTTCTAGACCTCTAGGCCCTACCTACAACTAGGAGCATCCCTACTTTCTGTCACATGCTTCAGTCCCAAAAGTTGTATAAAAGGCCAATGGACCTAAACATCTATGGTTTTTCCACTTTATGGAAACCCCTCTCTGACAAGCAGGGAGCCCTTTTCTTTTATTCTTTCTAATAAACACGCATTCAGCCATTCCCCACTGCTTGCTGCTTGCTGTTTTGTCAGCTTCAATCTTCATCATCCCCAAACAAAAACCCATGAGCTAGAGGGATCTGGTTACATCACAATGTACATATTTTGGTTATTATCCATAGTTTCTGCTTATAAGACCCTCTCCAAAGCAAGTCAAGAGAAACTAGTTTCTCTTCACCAAGATGGGTCACTGAAACTAATCTTCCTTTTCCTTTATGTTGTAGAGCTGGCCAAAAATTCTCTAGTAATGAGATGGAAGAAATAAAAGATAGGTAGAAAGGAGTCAGAGGAATAACTAAAATTGTACTTTTAAGAAGACTGCAACTTCCAGGACTCAGCCGAAGTTACCCAAGGCCATCCATATCAGCCTTCCCTGTGTTCATTTAGGATGCTTACCTTTCAGACCCATCATATCCAAAATTACTCAGGAATACTGAGAAAGTATAGACCAGGAATTTGATCCTAAAATGAAAAGGTTGAGAGAATCTAAAGAATCTTTAAGTTATCTATTCAAAAAAACAAACATACAAAAAACTGGGTCCATACCCGTTGAATGGGCTACTGCCCTTCTAGAGGCCTGGCAACCATTCCTCGGGACTTCTAGTCCCTCAAGAGAAACATAAATGTTCCCTGTTCCAGGAAATAAGCACCTCTCTCTCAAGAGCCTGCACTCCATTTCTCTGAGTGTGTACTTTTTAATTTCTGCCCGGTAGAACTCTCCCTGTACCTCTGATGCATCCTGAAAATTTTTTTTCTGCAACTGGAGTCAGCGAACCTGCAAACTTATTCTATAAGAAGGGTGGGTTAGGTTGCTTATGTCAGCTACAGGAACCTCCTCAGACCCTGTCCAGTGACAGTAAGACCCCAATTTCAGAAGGGTTCCTTTCTCATCCCTGGGAGGAACACTGCACAGATGGGCCTTGCTGGGATTCCCACTCCATCTCTTACCATTAGGCCATGCTGTGTCCGGTCAACTTTTTACATGGGGGTCCAAGCTTCAGTTATGCCCAGGCAGTGAAGTATCCATATAACCCCAAAGACTTTTTGGGCAGCTGAACATGTGCAGGTCCCCGGGGGGTAGCACACTCAGAGAGGGCTTGGCGCACTGTGCCCCTTCCTCTTAACCTCATCCTAGGTATCCCTTCATCAGTGTACTTTGTAAGATCCTGTATAATAAACCAGTAAACATACAAAAGTGTTTTTCTGAGTTCTGTGACCCACTGGAGCAAACTCGTTGAACTGGAGGAGTGGGTTTAGAGAACTCAGATTTATAGCTGATCAATCAGAAGCACAGATAAAACTACCTGGGGCATCTAAGGGGTGGCGAAATCTGTAAGATTGAGCCTCCACCTGTGGGAGCTGACACTAAGACGATGTCAGAATTAGATTAAATTAGGAGACATCCAGCTGGTGTCCGTTGCAGAATTAATTGATTGGTTGGGGTGAAGGAGAAACCCCCCTCCAATTTGGGAGTCAGAAGTGATCTGTGTTGTGAAAATGTAAAAAAGAGACTGAGTCTGAGTTTGAGGTGGTTTTTTCTTTTATATCATCAGAGAAACCCAGAACAGGAATCCATTGTAAGATGACAGTAGCTTGGACCAGGGTAGAAAGAACAGAGATGAAAATTTGTTGAATGTACTGTGGAAATCAGAAATTATGGCTTTAATTTCTTTCACTGATCACAGTTAAGGAAATATAAGTTACAACTGCATTTAATAAGCTTTGTGGAATATAATTGCTTTGTTGAAATGTCCCTTCCCAGAAAGACAAAAAAGAAGAGATTAGGAAATAAAAAGTGAGGGAAAGTTCTTAATTAAGTTTAAATTTATACAGGTTCTTTCTTTTATTACATTTATTGAGGAAAGCTTCCAAAAAATATAATGTTAGTATCAAGGTCCTTGTTTAATTTCTTAAGAAAGTAACATACACTCAATGCATATGATGTTTGTGAAGCATTTATCATTCCTTTAATCTACAGAATTTATTTGTAGAATATGTCTCTTAAATTATAAAGGAACTCACAAACTTTGTTTAAAAGAACTCTACCACCACCTACAATCTCTTAGGTTCTTTGACTATTAAACTTCAGACCCTTGAGTCTTATTTTCTCTCTGCAGAATGGAAGCAAATAAGCAGTGGCTTAGCAGATATTGAAATAAAGCACAATGTGAGACTACTGTTCTTCAGAAAGAAAATTCTCACTTACTTGGCCAGCTTAGTTATAGCACTTCCAAACACACTCCCAAACTTCACAGTAAAGCTGATAGGAGGAACACACCTAGAATCCCCGATACTTAGGAGGCTGAAGCAGAAGGATCACAAGTTTCAGTCTGGGTAGCTTAGCAAGACTCAGTCTCAAAGTTTTAAAAAATTAGGGCCGGGGATTTAGCTCAGTGGTTCCACCGCCTGCCTCACAAGCGCAAGGACCTGAGTTCAATCCCTGGTACCAAAACAAAAAAAAGTTTTAAAAAATTAAAAGGGCAGGGGATATAGCTTAGAGGTAGAGGGCCCCTGTGTTCAATCTCCAGTACCACACACATACAAAAAAAAAAAAAATTGATTGAAATACAACACATGAGCTTAAGACAAATACCTTATTCAAAGACAGGGTACTGTAGCCTTTCTTATACTTACTATAATGTCAAAGTAATATTTATATTTGCCTTTGTTAGAAAATGGAGATTCAAAAGAAAATATACAGCCAACAGATGTATGAAAAATGACAAACATCTCTAATAATCGGGGAAATGCAAATTAAAACCACAAGGAGAGACACCACCTCACACCTGTCAGAATGACTATTACCAAAACAGATAAAAGATATCAAGTGTTGACAAGAACGAAAAGGGAACCCTTGACACTGCCAATGGGAATGTAAGTTAATACAATCATTGTGGGAAGCAGTATGGATGTTCCTCCAAAACCTAAAAAACAGAACTAATATACAATCCAGCAGTTCTACTTCTGAGCTCTACTCAAAGGATTTGAATCTAATATGGGGGTGAACATCAACCTAAGTGTCCATCAACAGATAAATAGATAAAAAAAAATACAGTATATGTAAATACAATGAGGAACTACCCAGCCTTAAAAGAGATTTAAAGGCTGCCATTTGTGAGAGAAGGAAGGAACTCCCAGGCTGTGAGGAAAATACATTTCTATCTTATAACCCACCCAGTCTATGGTATTTTGTTATAGTAGCCTGAATTAAGACACAAAGTCTCTCCGTTGTCTCCCCATTTCACTCAGAGAGTAAAAGCTCTTATTCCTACAATGACCAACAGACCCTATGTAATGTGAACCATTCTCATCCCCTCTACATCACTGGATTACTGCTCAGACCTAATTTTTTTACTGCTCCACCTTCCCACTTGACCCCACCCCAGCCGCACTGGCTGCCTCACAATCTTTCCTACATGCCAATCATACTTCTGCCTAAACTCTCTGTCTGGAGAGCTCTGCCCCAGATGTCTGCACGGCTCATTCCTTTGCCTCTAATTCTTTGCTCAAGCATCCCTTTCTCAATAGACTCTACTCTGACCTTCTTAGTCCGAAATGTAGTATCTCCCAACTCCTCACTTTCCTTACCCTGCTCTGCCTTTCTTTCCCTTCTCCAAAGCATTTCTCACTTTTTAATGTACTCTACAATTTACTTATTATGTCTGTTATTTTTTGGTCTGTCCCTACACAGACTGTAAGTTACAGAGGGCAGGAATCTTTGTTTTGTCCACTGACTTCTCCCTAATGCCTAAAAGGCAGCCTAACTCTTAGTAGGATCTCAATAAGTGCTCATTCACTCAAGTGCTTTCTCTTCAAACTTCTTTCAGATACATAACTAAACTAGGTAACTTTATCTTCAAAATAATTTAAAAATAATTCCATCTGTAATAATCCTGTGAGGTACCTGTCATCATATTCCTACCAGAGCAAGTTTATATATGCACTCGGAAGTTTCTCAAGATTCTCAGTCATAATGAACTCAGTTAATTTTGCTTCACATATAGCTTCCTTTCATATACTATAATGGTCATTCTAATATAGTTTTACATCAGAACAAAACATTAGAAAATTTAGGTTATCAAACAGTACTCTTTACTGCAACTTCATTAGAATATTTAAAATCAAAAGGACTACGTATTATCAAAACTCTCATGCACTACTAATAAAGAATGTAAATTGGTTCAACCACTTTAGTAAACCAGCAGTTTCTACTAGAGTTAGCATCTGTATATTCTGTGATCCATTAATTCTAATACTGGGTATATAGCCAACAGGAATGCATACTTAATGTGTTCCAAAAGATCTATACAAGAATTATTCATAATAGCCTGAAACTGGAAACAATTCAAATATCCATTAAAATTAGAATAGTTACATAAATCTTGGAACAATGTTACAATAAAATACTATACTATAGGACAATGTAAGAAAAAACTATTCTGCACACAACAAAATGGATGAACATCACAGTCATAATTTTAAGCAAGCCAGACACAAAATACTTACTATGTGATTCCATTGACATAGATTTCAAGAATGGAAAAAACTAATGTATAGTGATTGAGGTCAGAATAATGATTACCTTTGAGGGAGTATTGACTGCAAGGGACACGAGGGACCTTCTAGATTCCCGGCAGTGCTCTACATCTACATCCGGGTAGTATTTACAAAGGTGTAAACAGATATGGGAATTAATCCGGTATATGCTTGAGATTACACACTTTATCATGTAACACACACAATTTTTAATAGTTTTTAATCAGTGAAGAAATGCTAGATTAAATGATTAAAGAACACCTGCTTAGCCAGCTAAAATTTTTCTTAATTATTGATCCTACCATATTTCTTATTTAAAAATCAATTTCAGATGAAATACTTAAAAGTTTGAAAATGTAACGCCACCTGCCTCACAAGCGCAAGGACCCAAGTTCGATCCCCGGTACCAAAACAAAACAAAGAAAAACAAAAAAATGTGGGCTGGGGATGTATCTCAGTAATAGAATGCTTGCCTAGCATGTATGAGGCTCTGTGTTCTATCTCCAGCACCACACAAATAAAAGAATAATACACAGTAAAATTATTTACAATATTAAAGGTAAGAGGTTTTTTTTATCAAGACACACAGCACACAATAGACTTCAAGAAAAGAATGTTAAATTTGATTCCAATATATATATATATATATATACACACACAGAACAATTATAAGCAAAATTTTAAAATACTCCTATCACTAACCTTGTTAACATTCTAGTATATCCCATTCTAAGCTTGCATGCACATGCATGTGTTAGATAT